CGGGCAGCGTGTCCGGGAGCCTCGGCCGCACCAGGTGAGTGCTCGCTCTCGCTCGGGCCGCCCGAGGAGCCTTGTGATGCCACCTCAGGCCCTTGTCCGCACAGATGTCACCCGATCCGGGGACGGGCTGGAAGCTTTCTCGCTCCCACCCCGAAACCTCCGCCCTGTAAAAGCTCCAAAGCTTGGACATTGGGATTCAGCTTCTTTTCCTACAATTTGTTATGTTGGTGTTCACTGCTTATTGGTGGTTTACTTATTTCTCCTTTGTATTTGTTTTTATTTTTTATTTTTAAAGTGTATTGCGTGTAGGATGTAAATGTGGAGATTAGAGGACAGCCTGTGAAGTTGGTTCTCTCCATCCACCTCCACAGGGCTCCCGGATTAGAACTCTGGTCGCCAAACTTGCTGGGCAAATGCCCTTACCACTTGAGCTAACTCACCAGCTTTTTGTTTTTGTTTTTGTTGAATTTACTGTATTGTACTTCTGTTTGCAATAGCATGCTTTTTTTTTTTTGTTTGTTTTGTTTTTTCTTTACTTGACTGTGAAAAAAGATGGCATGTCAGTCAGTAGGATCCATGTAGATAATAAATACAATGAATGGATTTTGCTTGTGGAGTTTCTTGACAGGGCTTGAATGCTGCTTTTAAGTTACATTTTAGTTGTTAACACTTAATAATTAATCTGTTTTGTTCAAGATGAACTTAAAATACGAATACCTGTAAAGTGGATTTTTTTTCTGAAGAGGTTTATGTGTGTTTGCATGCATACATGCATCTCTTATTTTAGTAATGATAACTTTATTATGCTTGTACTATCATATGATGATTATAAAAGCTAAAAAAAAAAACCACCCCTATGCCATGCTTTAATTGTTCTGGGGGGGGGTATGTCAATTTTTGTGCTTATTCATAGTCATTAGTGACTATGTAAATTATCATGTAGTTATTCTCGTGTTCCCGAGGTACACTTCCTGAAATTGCTAGTCTGCCTGTAGTGCCTTTGAAAGCACTTTGTCAGCTGAGCCTTACAACCAAGTTCAAAGCCTGGAACCCAGCAAGGGTGGAAGGAGAGAATTGACTCCAAGGTTGTCTTCTGACCTCCACACATATGTCATGTTACAAACACAATAATAATAATAATAATAATAATAATAATAATAATAATAATAATAATAATAGTTACACACGTGGTGGATAAGGTTTTTGGTTTTTAATCTTGTTTCTTTTTAAAAAGACTTTATTTTTAATTATGTGTGTGTGCCTTGGGGAATGGATGCTTGTGAGAACAGGTGCCTGAGGAGTTACAGGCAGTTACTCAGTGGCTTTTTTCTTTTGCATATTTTTTTATTCTTTGAAAACTTAATATATTAGCTTTTTTCCTCTATGTAGATTGTTTTCCTCAAATACTGTCAGTTATTACACTAGATAAACCCAATTTCTGTTCTTCTGCAGTGGAATTTCAGCATTGATAAGGGAAATTTAAGAATTTCATAAATACAAGAGTTAATATTCTGGCTTAGGGGGATGGAGAGATGGCTCAGTGGTTAAGAGCATGGGCTGATCTTCCAGAGGACTTGGGTTCAATTCCCAGCACCTACATGGCAGGTCACAGCTCCCTCTAACTCCAATCCCTCTGGAACCTTCACACAGAAATACATGTAGGCACATAAAATAAAAATAAAAATTATTTTAAAATATTCTGGCTTAGATATTGCTGTGGTAATAGAGAATGATGATTTTTTTAATCTGATATTTAGTTACATGAGGGTGCTTTGGCAGTATATGTGTAAACACTTTGTTTTCTTTGGTAGCCAAAGACTTTGCATGTTGTCTGTTAACATGGCCATGGATTGACTTTCTATTATTTGTCTGTTGGGAGATATCAAGCTGGGCATGGTAACTCACTTGGAATCCCAGCACTTGGGAGGCTGAGCAAGAGAACTAACGTGGGTTCTAGGCCATCCTGAGCTAGTGTGAAACCCAGTCACTCTCCCTACCTAAAGAAAAGAAAGAGAAATAGTTGGCTTAAAAGGAATTTTACCTGACTGGAAAGAGAAATTCAAAACTGTATACAGTTAAAGTAGTCTAGGAATAACTTTTATGAGCTTTGAGCCCTGAACCATGACCTCACCCCCACCCCCAAGAGTCAGAGAAACTTATCCAATGTCATAGGAATCAGCAGTACACTTCCAGAGTGGGCCAGGCTCCTCCTCCTGATGCCGCTGCCCAGACTAGGCATCACCATAGATAGGCAAAGGTGGTTTCAGGGCAGAAGTAATCACGCAGGAATGGAGTGGGCCTGGAGAGATGACTGCTCTTCCAGAGGACCCAGGTTCAATTCCCAGCACCCACATGGCTGCTTACAAACATCTGCAACTTCAGTGTCGGAATCCGGTGCCTTCCTCTATCCTGTGTGGGCACTACCTGCACTTGGTGCACATATATTTAGGCAAAACACCTAAATACACGAATAAAAATTCAAAAAGCGCATCAAATAGTAGTCCCAGCTTGGTGGGTTGAACTGAGAGGAATGTGAGAGTCTCAAGGATTGGAAACTACACCAAGGGAAAGGGGTTTTGTAGTTAAGACAACGCTAGCAGCAGCCATCCACTCAAAGGTATTTTGAGATCTGTGTGCCAAGTGTGTCCTGGGTGCTGAGGGTACAGCAGTTACCAAAGGTGGAGTCTGCTATGGAGCCTTTACTAAGGTGAAACGTCAGTGGTCACAACTTCCAGCAGTCATTATTTGTGTCGTGGGAGTGTTTTGTTTTGTTTTTTGTTTTCTTTTTCTTCTGGACCTTAGATGGTGGATCTTGAGTTACTGATTAGGTGGCATAAACTCAATTCATACCTATATTGTTATGTGCTTGTGAGTTACTGCATAGCTTAGTGTTAAAAAACACACTTACAGTTGCTCTGGGTCAGGAATGTGTGGCTTTGTGGTGCCTCTGATTCAGTCTGTCAACGGCTGTAATAAAGATGTCATCCAGGACTCAAGTCATTTCAAGACATAACCACAGGAGGAATCAAGCTCATTCATGTGGTGGCTAACCAGATGCAGGGCCTTATGGGTTCTTGGTGTGAGAACCTCAGGTCATCACTAATTGCTGCCCTGGGACCTCCCTCATTTCTTTGTGGTGTGAGTCTCTTCACAGAGGATGTTGCCACATAATAGCTGGTTTTCCTTTGAGTGGATAAGCAAGAGACAGTGAATAGGATGGAAGTCACAGTTTAATCCTAGGAGGAATATCTCATCCATCCTTTTTGTTTACTTACAAGCATGAATTCAAGGAATCATGTAGCCCAGGCTGTCTTCAAGCGCAACACACAACTAAAGATGGCTTTGAACTCTCAAGTGCTAGGATTACAGGTGTGTGGCCCTGCACCTGATTCTTTGATTTACATTTCTCTCCTCACCCTGTTTAGATTGGTACATTCTATATATATTCTGAGATATACATGTATATTTTTAAATGAGTATTTATGTAGCATTTGTAATTTTTACTTTAATCAAATGATATTCAAATTCGACATTGTTCTATGTCTAAGATTTTGTTTCCCAACCCTTTACTTTTGATGATCTATTTATGTTGCCATTTACAAAGTTGTTTATTGCTTTTATGTACTATATATTTACTGTGTTCTTTGCCACAGTTTCCTAGCAGAACAGTTTGTCTCCAAACTGTTTTTCGTAGTGTTGTATATTTGAATATATGAATTATACATAATATGGGTTGACATTCTCATAATTCACATAATATATTTTGACTATATTCCCCCTGCCTCCAATTTCTTGGTAATTCAAATAGTTCTATAATTAACAACCAGAACTATGTCCTTTTATGAATCTTTGTGAGGCTTTCTCTGGAGTCTTTTATAACATTTCTACATAGGGCCATTGATATTTAAAGAAGATATCTCTAAGTATTGCTTGATTATTCTTCAAAATGAGTATGCAACTATATTCTCACAAACTGTGAAGGTTCCTTTCTCCCAAAATCCATGCTCATATTTAGCATTATTGAACTTGTTTTTTTTTGTTGTTGCTTTTGGTTTCCAAGACAGGGTTTCTCTGTTGTATGGCCCTGGCTGTCCTAGAACTCACTGTGTAGACCAGACTGGCCTCAAACTCAGAGATCTGTGTTGACGGAGTTTCTGTCTCGCCTGGTCCCACAGCCATTTAGGCCCAAATAAACACAGAGGCTTATATTAATTATAAACTATTTGGCCAATGGCTCAGGCTTCTTATTGGCTAGCTCTCTCTTAATTATTAACCCATTTGTGTTAATCTATGCATTTCCACGTGGTCTCGGCTTACCAGAGAATGCCTGGCATCCTATCTTCCTGGAAGCTACATGGTGTCTCCCTGGCAGCTCCTCTCTGTATTCCTCTTCCAAGCATTCTCCTAGTCTGGTAGCCCCACCATACTTCTGCCTGGCTCCTGGCCAATCAGCGTTTATTCACCAACCAATGAGAGAAAAATAATCACAACATACAGAAGGACCTTCCCCATCAGATCCGCCTCCCTCTGCCTCCTGAGTGTTGGGATTAAAGCTGTGGGCCACCACTAGCAGCTTATATTTTTTTTATTTTTCTTTATTTGTTTTTCAAGGCAGTGTTTCTTGAAACTAACTAACAGCCCTAGTTGTTCCTGCTCTGGAACTTGTTTTGTAGACCAGGCTGGCCTCACAGAAATCTGCTTGCCTCTGCCTTCCAAGTGCTGAGTTAAAGGTGTGAGCCACCACCTCACAACCTTCTATTTTTTAAAAGATAGATTTATTTTTACTTGTGTATATAGATGTGTGCCTGTGTGAGTTTATGTGCACCACTTGCAGACAGGTGTCCATGGAGGCGAGAGCGTTCAGGAATCCTGAACTGGAGTTACAGGCCGTTGTGAGCCACCAAATGCAAGAGCAGTTCGTGCCCTAACCACTGAGCCATGCTCCAGCCTTGATCAGCAATGTCCAAGAGCTCTATGTGAATATTCTACTGATGTACAAAAGAAGTAAAAAACCATCTCATTTTCCTCACACTTCTCCCTCCTATCAGTTTTCCTGTTATCCTTCATGGTCACCTTTGTACTACCCCAAGCCTAATGTGCCTCACATTGTAGCTATAGGGAACTCCCAAGCAGCCAGCAGCTCTTTCGCCACAGTGTTGCAGATTTGCTTTTCTGTTCTGGTGGCCACTGCCCTCATCCAAATCGTTGCCCTCTCAGAACATGCAGATTCTTCCTTCCAACATTCTCTCATCTTCAATAGCAGTCATTGTCACCATTAACAAAGCGGACATTTTTCAAGTACCTACTTCTAATGCTTTACTTATGTGTATCTCCACATATCTGTATCTTACTAAATGCAGATAGCTCAGGTTCTCATGTGCAGAAACTTTTATTGAAGACACACTTCCTGGCTGAGTGCAAAGACCAGCCATCCCAGGCTTCCAGATGGGATCTTCTTTGCTTGTACCCCAAGTGCTGGAGTTAGAAGCCTGAGATGTCATGCCTGGCACCAAGTTACTTATTTTTATGTATTTATTTTGTCCTGACCTGGGGGTTGAGTGTAGGACCTCTTGCGTGCTAGCTAGCCAAGTGTTCCATCATTGAGCTATATCCCCAGCACCCACTTCCCTTTTACAGTGTTTACTCAGAGCCATGGTCTGGCTGAGCTGATCAGGCCCACTTCGAACTTGTTATGTATCCCAAGCTGGCTTTAAATCTGTGATCCTACTGCTTCAGCTTCCAAATAACTGGGATTACAGATATCCAGCAGTACACCTGCCTAGTTATTTTTATTAGTTTTGTAACTCTTGGCAGTAGTTACTATACCAATTAAAATTTTAACAATTGAAACTTGGAAGAAATATTAAGAGCTTAACCAGGATGGCAGAATCAGAATTTTAACCAAGAAGCTGGGCAGTAGTGGTGCATGCCTTTAATCCCAGCACTTACTTGGAGGCAGAGGAGGGTGGATCCCTGAGTTCAAGTCCAGCCTGGTCTACAGAGAGAGTTCTAGGACAGCTTGGGCTACACAGAGAAACCCTGTCTTGACAAACAAAACAAAAAAAGATTCTAACCAAGGTTTTTCTAACTGCAAAACACATACACTTTCTGCTTATTTGTACCTCTTCCCAAAACTATGCCTAGCAGTGAGCATCAGTTCTGTAGATGTTTATGAAAATGTATCATGCACTAGAGATACAGCTCTACACGTTTCACATGTGTGCCCTTCTCTCAGATAACTAGGTCTAGTAGAGATAAGTGTAGACAAATGTAATGAGATGAAATTCCCAGCAGAATGTCAGAGGACCTACATGGGTGAACGTTATTTTGAACTGGGGTAAACAACCTAATAATGTGAGCTAGCCTTTATGGTGGGGCTTAGCTGGAGGAACTAAAATCATGCATGTTTGTACATATGCATGAGTTCATTTTTGATGGTACTGTAATTTGAAGCCAAGGCCTTATCTTGTGTGTACTTTAAGTCTAAACTATATCCCCAGCCCAAGTTGTTTTTTTGTTGTGTGTATGTGGCATGGAGCATTGAACCAGGGGCCTTATGCATGTTAGGCAAGCCGTCTAAACACTGAGCTGAACTGTTATCTGCAAGTCCCAACATGTTCTTTAAGGATGGAAATTGTAGGAGTGAATGTGTTCTTGTAAACTTAATTTTTAAAAATTATTTGTTCAGACTGGAGAGATGATGGCTCAGTGGTTAAGAGCACTGGTTGTTTTTCCAGAGGACCTGGATCCATTTCTCAGCACCCACACTGTGTCTCACAGACATCTGTAACCCCAGTCTCAGAGTATCAAACAACTTCTTCTGGTCTCTGCACACACTGCATGCACATGGTTTACAAACAAAATACTCATACATATACTAATAAATGAGTTATTTGAAAACTTGTTATTTTGTCAGTGTTGGGGCAGGTGTGCCCTGTGGTCTGTGTGCCTGTGCATACAGAAGTCAGGACAGCATTGTGGACTTGGTTTCCTTGTTTTTCCTTTACTTGGGTTTATTGAGTTAAAGCTGGGTCATCTATTGAATGGTCTCACTGACCCAGCTGTAAACTTCCTCATTAAAGGAGTCCTAGAAAGTATATTTTTAAGAAGCTTTGTACTTATTTTTGAGAGATATGTAACATGAAAATACTTCTTGTTTCTTCTTTTCTTAGCTTACATGTGAGCATGAGTCTTCTCATGATCAGTGAGAATGTAAAGTTGGCTCGTGAATATGCATTACTGGGAAACTATGACTCTGCAATGGTCTATTATCAGGGAGTTCTTGACCAAATGAATAAGTATCTATACTCAGTCAAAGATACATACCTCCAGCAGAAATGGCAACAGGTAAGAATCATGGCTGCTGTGTTTAATACTCAGAGAATGTAGATTGACTTTCAATGCTGTACATGCATTCAGAGAGTATAGATTTGTTTGTTTGTTTGGTTTTTTGAGACAGAGTTTCTTTGTATAGTTTTGGCTGTCCTAGAACTAGTTCTGTAAACCAGGCTGGAGTTGAACTTACAGCTGGTCTAAAGTATACATTGGTGTTTGGAGTAAGTAGGCTCCAAAGCCAGTAAATGAGGGCAAGCAGGCCAAGAGCAAAAGCTTGTCTTTTTTGTCCTTTATACAGGCTGCCACAAAGGTGTGACCCAAATATAGGTGGTCTTCTCACTTCAGATGATCCAATTAAGTAAATCCCTAACGGGTGTACCCAATGACTTGGGTTTAAGTTAACTCAGATATAGTCTGACAACCAAGAATAGCCATCACGGTGAGCAACAGCTCTTTCACCATCAACAGTGTTATGACCTCTGCTTTATTATTCTAATTATTGTTAGAATTTATTTAATAAATATTAAAGCTGTTTAATAATAGTTTTAAAGTAATAGTCTTTTTTCTTCTCTTTTCTTTAGACAGGGTCTTACTCTGTGGCCCTGGCTGTCCTGAAATTTGCTATGTGGACCATACTGTCCTCATACTCAGTCTTCCTGTCTCTGCCTGTCCAGTCCTACCCAAGCCCTGCAGTTAATTTCATAATGACATTGCTAAAATTGCAAATGACAGCAGATACTTGCAGAACCTTATTTCCTATAGAACTTTACAAAGCTGATCATATTTGAATCCCATTTAAGGAGTCTTAGACACTGAGGACTGGAAGAAAATTATTGTTGGAAACCATGGAACCCATAAAATCTAGTCCAGGGCAGTATTTCCCAAAGTCCAGCTGTCATAATAGAACATTACAGAAAAGAGTAGTCCTTTAGGCTGAATTTGTTGTGAACTATTATTTCCTGGCTCCTGTTTAAATATGGTACCGCACTTGTCTGTAACACTTGGAGAGAAGTAGCCTGTTTTGGAAAATAACTTTTCCTTAAATCCAGCTGTTGATATTTAAGTTACATATACTTTAAAATATATGTAAATCACTTTAAATTTGTAGTTCAGTATAAAGTTTTAAATGTATGAAGTTCATTAGTGTTAAATACATTCAGAATGTTGTATGACCATTACTCCATATAATGGAATTTGATCATGGGTTTGTTTGTTTGTTTTGGGCTTTTGTTTTTTGTTTTCTGAGATAAGGTTTCTCTGTGTAATCCTGGCTGTCCCAGAAGTAGCTCTGTAGACTAGGCTAGCCTCGAACTCACAGAGATTCACCTGCCTCTCCTGACTGAGTGCTGGGATTATAGGTATGTGCCACCACCGCCCAGCTTGGCAGTGATTTCTTAGAGAAATTTTAGTTATATTTTTCTTTGAAACTAGGTTTGGCAGGAAATAAATGTGGAAGCTAAGCATGTTAAGGATATCATGAAAACACTTGAGAGCTTTAAACTGGACAGCACCCCTTTAAAAGCTGCGCAGCATGAACTTCCGGCTTCTGAAGGAGAAGTGTGGTCCTTGCCTGTACCTGTTGAACGAAGGTAAGTTGAGACTTCTTAAGAAAAATAGACCAAGAAGCTGGCAGCCTTAGCCTTGGTCCATATCTAGGAGATGGACTGGGTTGCTGGGAGACAGGGACATGGGGAACATTTGTACTGTAATGTCCTTTGAGAATTAAGTGTGTATCAAGTTTAGGTGGAAATTTGCCAGAACTAGGGGCTAGTGGGCTGAAAGTAGCTGACTCAGCATATAGACTGAGGGATCTGGGAACTGGAGTCTTCTACATTCTCTGTAGCTGCTGGAAAATCACATATGCTGTCTTTAACTCAGATTTTTTCATATGTAAATTGAGGGATTTAGACTGGGTGCATAGCCAGCTGCTTCAGGAACTGCCTGTGATTTTAGTGGTCTCCTGTTGGTTAGACCCTCACCAGGACCTAGGAAACGCCAGTCTTCTCAGTACCATGACCCTAAGCCACACAGTAACCGCCCAGGCACAGGCGTCAGAGCGCATCGTCCATCTGCACAGAGTCTTCACAATGACAGAGGGAAAGCTGTGCGTAGTCGTGAAAAGAAAGAGCAGAGTAAAGGAAGAGAGGAAAAGGTAAGTGCTACTACCTTCAGATGGCTTAGTATGAAGCACACTTGCTGCTGCTGCTGCTGCTCTGCCTGAGTTTGATTCCCAGCACCTACATGAGGGAGCTCACAGTCTCTGTACCTGCAACTCCAGGGAATCCCACACCCTCTTCTGATCTCTGCAGGCAGCTGCATACATATACTTACCAACAAAGAGCGAGAACAAAAGTGTTTAAGGTTTATTTCTTTTATGTATATGAATGTTTTATCTGCATGTTCATTTGTGTACCAGAAGAGAGCATTAGATCCTGTAGGACTATAGTTACAGTTGGAAGGGCCATATGGGTGCTGGGAATTGAGCGTAAACTTCTGGAAGAGAAGTCAGTGCTCTTAACTGTAGAGTGTTTTCTCCAGCCTCCTCAAAACAAAATGGTTTTTTTGTTTGTTTGTTTGTTTTTGTTTTCAAGAATGGGTTTTTCTGTATAATAGCTCTAGCTGTCCTGGAATTCATTCTATAGACCAGACTGGCCTTGATCTTGACAGAGATTTGCCTGCCTCTGCCTCCCCAATGCTGGGATTATATAGGTATGTGCCATCAATGCCAGGCCAGAACTGAAAATTTAATTTAATTTTTACTTAAGTTAAATCTAAGTGGATACACATCTACTTATTTATAATTTCTTGGTATGTATGTATGTATGAAGTGATTTACTGATAGTCATTGTCTGACTTCTGAGTACAGAGTCCCATATATATCCCTTTATTCTTTCTATTTACAATTATAAACATTTCCTCTATATTAATTTAGAACTACATCAGATTGTTGTAATTTTTGCTTTTGCTAGCCAATGTTATTTAGAAAACTCATAGGGAAATAAAGTCTGTCATATTTACATAGTTCCATGTTTTGTTTCCTGACTTGCCCGTGTTTCAGGGTTGATAAAATTCTGTTTCTTATCTCAAGTTTTTTTTTTTTTTTTTTGGAGGGCGGTGTTGGTTTGGTTTGGTTTGAATTTGTGAGGTGGTCTTATAGTCCTCTTGTCTCTAATTCTCAAGTGCTGGGGTTCTAGGCATGTGTTCCCATCCCCCCCTCTGAGAATGCCTTGAAATCCTCTTCATTTCTGAAGGCTATTACACTGGAAGGATCTTGAGTTTTCTTTGTGCACTTGGGAAATACCGCATCACTTTCTTCTGGCCTCTTTGGTTTCTTGGAAAAATCCACATTGATTAGGATTGGTTTTCCTTGTCCAGGTGTGGTGGTAATACCAATCATTTGGGAGGCAAGAGGGTCAGAAGTTTGACTTGTGTTAGGTTTGTACCAGGAGATCATTCAGTAAACAAAATCACTTTGGTCTGATCATTGTTTATGACTCACAGAAACAAAATACAGAATTTCAGTCAATTAAGAGCTCTTCCTTTTTTATCTCCTCATGTAGAACAAATCACCTGCTGCAGTTACAGAACAAGAGGCAAATAAATTTGACAGCACTGGATATGACAAGGACTTAGTAGAAGCTTTGGAAAGAGATATAATTTCTCAGAATCCCAATGTTCGTTGGTAAGTCACATCACAAGATAATTGATAGTTTTGGAAACAGAAAATAGACAAAATATGGGCATGTGCTAAAATCTGTCTTTGAAGACAGAGCTAGAGGATATGCAGTGTAAGTGGGACATACAGTAAAAACTGAGTCACCACTGAGGCTGTACCAGTATGTTGTCCTGAGATTTTTATTTTTGTTTGTTGTGAGACAGGACTCCCTGTAGAGCTGACTGGCTTCAAAATGGCTATGGTAGCCAGCATGGCACTGAATTTCGTCCTCCTACCTGAACACTGAGATGACAGACACACATCACCATGACCAATTTATATGGTGATGTTGAGGACTCCGGGGCTTGTGCTTGCTATTATTTTTTGCATTTTTAAAGTTTATTATTTTATATGGATGGGTGTTTTGCTTGCATGCCATGTGTACAGTGCCTTTGGAAGACAGAAGAAGGAGTCATATCCCTTGGAACTGGAGGTATAGATGCTGTGGCAGCTGAGAATCAAACCTGGCACTCTGTGAGAGCAGCCAGTTGCTCTTCCCCACTGAGCCATTTCTCCAGCCTCTCTTCGTTTTTGGTGTATAAGGTGTTAAACACAGGGTCTCATACATATATGAGGCAAGCTGTCTCCCAACTGAATATCCCCAGTCCCTTGAGGTTTTTTGTTTTTTGGGACAGGGTTTCTCTGTGTAACAGTCCTGGCTATCCTGGAACTCACTCTGTAGACCAGACTGGCCTTGAACTCATTGAGGTCCACCTGCCTCTGCTTCCTGAGTGCTGGGATTAAAGGTGTGTACCACCACTGCCAAGCATGATTCTTTTAAATTGACAAGTCAAATACAAAGTGGGACTAAGCACACAGTTTCATCTTTTGGGCCCCCTTCTAATGTTGAGAAGATTGATGTTTTGTTTTTTGTTGTTTGTTTTAAACTTAATGTCCCGAAGTGGTGGGTCACACCTTTATTTTCAGCACTTGGGAGGCAGAGGCAGGTGGATCTCTTGAGTTGGAGGCCAGCCTGGTCTACAGAATGAGTTTTAGGATAGCCAGGACTGCACAAAGAAACCCTGTCTAAAAACAAATAAACAAACAAAAGCTATTTTTATTGTGTATGTATGATGGGGTGGAGCATGTGCTGTGGCACAAATTGGAGGTCAGAGGACAACTGTGTGGACTCTGTTCTCTCTCCCATATTTCTGTGGGATCTGAGGGGACAGGTCCTCAGTGTTGTTCAGTAACCACTCTTACATACTGAACCAGCTTGCCAGCCCTGGGTGGAGGTTTCTGTGCACACATCTTGTTTATGTCTATAGCTTATGGTAAATGTTGCTTTTATTTGCTTTTAGTGCAACATTCTCAACTTTATATCTAATAAAGGATATGTACCCTTTTTCAGCATGCTGTAAGGGTTCACTTTTCTACAAGTTGGTTATATTTTGTTACATACTTTTAATTAAAATATGGATGGTTAATAGGTATTTTTATAATATTTAAAGTTTCTAGTAATTGATATTTATACAGTAAAATCTATTTTCATAGTAAAATTGCTACATACACTAGTAGTACTGGTATGTATTCTAGTGGCTGGGGAGAACTTCATAATGAAGTTCATCTTTTAACGTTGGTGTCTGCATCTTAGAATTGGAAGCTTAACAGCTGTATCTACTGTGTGCCCTGTTTATTCTTTTTATAGTGGCCATTCTTCTAAGCCATTAGAGTTATGGGATATAATATAAGATGCTGTCAATGATGATTCAGGTTCAGCATCCCTAATCCCTAATCTGAAAAATCAGAAATCCAAAAATGCACCAAGATCCAAATTTTTTAAAATTTATTTTTATGTGAGTTGGTGTTTTGCCTGCATGTATGTGTGGTGGTGTCAGATCCCCTGGAACTGGAGTAACAGACACTTGTTAGCTGCCGTGTGTGTGTGTGTGTGTGTGTGTGTGTGTGTGTGTGTGTGTGTGTGTGTGTGTGTACACGTACACGCTGATGAACCCAGGTCTTCTGGAAGAACAGCTAGTATTCTTAACTGCTGAGTCATCTCTCCAGCGCCCTCAAGTTTTTTTTTTTTTGTTTTGTTTTCAAGACAGGGTTTCTCTGTATAGCCCTGGCTATCATGGAATTAGCTCTGTAGACCACCTGCCTCTGCCTCCTGAGTGTGCTCCACCATTGCCTGGTTATTGAATATATATAATTTTTTTTAAGATTTTATTTATTTATTATGTATACAACATTCTGCTTCCATGTATATCTGCACACCAGGAGAGGGCACCAGATCTCATAACGGATGGTTGTGGGAATTGAATTCAGGACCTCTGGAAGAGCAGCCAGTGCTCTTAACCTCTGAGCCATCTCTACAGCCCAATTGAATATATTTTCAAGTGTAGAGCTAAACCACTTTATTCTGTGGGAAGAAGCTTCCTCCTAAGTGCTGGATTGCATCATTTTTTTTTTCCAGCCTAGGGTGTTGAGCCACATTTTTAAGCAAGTAAATACTTTATTCTTAGAAAATTTGGAGAGTTTTAGATGAAATTAATCTGAACAGTTTTGGATTAGAGAATGCTGAAGTGGGAAGGTGTATGCAAACGTTTATGGTCCTGAGCTTTTTAGCTAAGGGTGTGCTTATATCTTGACTTGAGCCATATCATGTCACAGATTTTACACTAGCCTGGCAGCATAGAGAATGAATGAATGAATGAATGAATGAATGAATGAATGAATGAATGGAGTTTTATGCTTTCCTAAATTAAACTGAAACCCATTATTGCCAAGAACTAAAGACAAAGGTTATCCTCTGTATATACTGATTGGGATGTAAGACTAGCAATTTTGTTTGCTTGTTTGTTTGTTTGTTTTTCGAGACAGGGTTTCTCTGTGTGGCTTTGGAGCCTATCCTGGCACTCGCTCTGTATACCAGGCTGGCCTTGAAGTCACAGAGATCCGTCTGCCTCTGACTCCCGAGTGCTGGGATTAAAGGCATGCGCCACCAATGCCCCGCCCAAGACTAGCATTTTTTCTGTGTCATAAAATCCTGTGCAGGCGATGGTTTTCAGGGTGAAGAGTATATAGGATTGGATATATAATCCAAGGGGTTGGCTGACAAAGTATCTTTTCTTTCAGGGATGATATTGCTGATTTAGTAGAAGCTAAAAAGCTGCTTAAGGAAGCAGTGGTGTTACCAATGTGGATGCCAGAGTTCTTTAAGGGCATTAGGAGGCCATGGAAAGTAAGTTTATACCTGTAGGCATCATCAGAGGAAACAGCAGTGCCTCTGTGGAGAACCACTACTTATTCATAGTGGAGAAAGTGAAATGAGGAAAAACTTAAACCAGGCTCAGGAAGCTTAGGCAGGAGGATCGCCAGTCTGGGCTACATACTGAATTCCAAGACAGCCTGGGTTAGATCAACATTATCTCAAAAAAAAAAAAAAAAAAAAAAAAAAAAAAAAAAATATCAAGTTTATGTTATACTATTCAGGATTTTACTTTGAGCAAACCAGTGCAGGGTTCCCACAGTAAGAAGCACATCCTCAGGGTCATGTTACCCACACATAGCACATGTAGAATGAACTTCTGTTTGCACATATGACCCAGTTGGCTAATACATTTCATTTGTCACATCATATAACGTGTCGTAATAGTTTTGGAATTGGTTTTGACAAATTCAGCAATATTTTTTATCTCATTGGGCATTTTTGAAAATTCTGGGATGGTATAAAAAAAGAGCTGTTTAAAGGAATGTGGGCTATGAGTAAACATTTATCTGCCTCTTTAAAATATCAACTATTAACAGTTAACCTTTTTTGTAATGATTAATAAATTAATAATTATGTTTTCCTTTTTCTTAACTGAGTTCCAAACTTTCAGTGTGATTATCTTCCTTTTGTGTAATAGAAAAGATATTTGTGCCAGTAGTGATGGCGTATACTCTTAATCCCAGCACTTGGGAGACAGAGATACGTGGAGCTCTGTGAGTGTGAGGCCAGTGTGGTCTACATAATGAGTTCCAGGACAGCCAGTGCTAAATTAATGAGACCCTATGTCAAAAACTTGGTTATGAAATATCATTCATTTTTCTCTTTGCTCTTTATCTCATTGTTACATACAAATCTAGTGAAGTTTTATACTTTGTTTTAATTAGAACAAGGACAAGCTACTGGACAGGTGGTGTCCACTGACAGTCCCACTCCTCCAGAGAATAGAGCAGGAGGATCATTGGAACCCAGGAGGTCAAGACCCCGTTTGCATTTATCATCCTCAAAAAACAGAAGAGGGAAGGAAATAGCAATGGCTGATGAAGTCTTTGCTTACACTGCTATATTTTACATTGTTATAACTCTTACAGGGAGTACTGATGGTTGGTCCACCTGGCACTGGGAAGACCCTTCTTGCTAAAGCAGTTGCTACAGAATGCAAGACAACATTCTTCAATGTCTCTTCGTCAACCCTGACTTCTAAATACAGAGGAGAGTCTGAGAAGCTTGTCCGTCTTCTGTTTGAAATGGTAATGTTTGAGACAGCTCTAGAGATTCCTGACCTCCATCTTTCTCTATTACATGTGTAGGATGGCACTCTGCTGTGGTTGTCAGTAATCCTGAATGACTTGGACTTCCGTTTATCTCCTTTTTTCCAGAGGTGGAGTCACATCTGCTAGTTTCTGAGCATGTGTGCACTATGGCGTTAGCATTACTAATGTGCCTTAAGAGTCTAACATAATTATGGTTAGTTGGTTTGTTTTAAATTTTATGATTATTTTTGTGTGTATACATACATATGTGATGGGGTGAGTGAATACCACCACACTTCAGTGGATTTCTGAGGACAATTTATTTATTTATTTATTAGGTATGCAGTGTTTTGCCTGCACACCAGAAGAGGGTGCTGATGTCATTCTAGATGGTTGCGAGCCAACATGTTCTGGGAATTGAACTTGGGTCCTTTGAAGAGCAGCCAGTGCTCTTAACCACTGCCCCAAAATATGAATTTTTAATCATAGCAGAAAAAGTCTTAGGTGATCGTGCTGATAGCATCCTGGATCTTACTCGTTCTAAGCTCAAATAAGTAAATGATGAAACAAACTAGCATCATCCTTTCAAGTTATCCACTTTATAAAAAAATTCTTCCTATTTTGGTTTTTATTTCTACTTCCTCCTGGGCATAGACAGTTCATAAACCAGGAGGCAATTTCTTAACAGACTTTTAATGGCAAATTAGTTCATAGCACAATATGAATCTAATGGAGAATCTCTGATAATTTTGAAAAGATGGTTTTCCCAATGCTTGAGAGAAAGGAGAAAAGTGTTAAAGGAACTAAGCTTAAATTGTTGCCTTCTGATTCCATGTCAGTCACTTTGCTAGCTGTTGCCTCCAGCCAGTTCCTTCCTTTCTGAGCTGCCATTCCTTTATGTAGAAGGCATTAATATACAACTTACGGGCTGTGGAGATGGTTGGGAAAGTGTAATACAAGGACCTGGCAGTATTTTGTAATCCCAGAGCTGGGGAGGGCAAAGACAGGCAGATCGCCAAGGCACTTGGCTATCTATCCAGCTTAATCTCATTGTTGAGTCCCAGGCAAGTGAAAGACATTACTCAGAATTCAAGGTGAACAGCACCTGAGGTAAGACACCCAGGATTGATCTCTGACCTCTACATACATATCATACTTATGCCTTTGCACACATAAACTCATGTGCACACACACACACATACACTTTACCTGTGTGATATCAGAAATTCAACTGATAAAAGTAATTTTCTTAATACAAATCTAAACTCATTGGAGCTGATATTACGTATTTAAAAATGATTGGGATAAAAATATGTGTATTGTTTTATTTATCCCCTCTGAGACAGGGTTCTTCCCATGTAGCCCTGGCTGTCTTGGAACTCACTTTGTAGACCAGTTTGGCCTCGAACTCAGAAATCCATCAGCTTCTACCTCTCAAGTGGTGAGATTAAAGGCGTGTGCCACCACCACCCAGCTATATAAAAAAAGCGATTGTAAATGAAAGTTTCTGTCCTGCCTGGTCCTATAACTGTTTAGTCCCAAATAAACACACAGAGGCTCATATTAATTATAAACCATTTAGCCAATGGCTTAGCCTTCTTATTGGCTAGCTCTTTCTTAATTATTAACCCATTTCTATTAATCTGTGTATCTCTATGTACTCTTGGTTTACAGGTGATGCCTGGGTCTCTTGCTTCCTCAGCAGCTACATGGCGTCTCACTCTGTTTTCCCAGAGTGCTCCTGGTCCTGTAGCCCCATTTATACTTCCTGTCTACCTACTGGCCAATCAGCATTTTATTAAACCACAGAGTGACAAATTTTTACAGTATACAAGAGCATTATCCTGCAACAAGTGATTGTCTAGTTGTTTTAATATGTGCTCTATAGGGTTTGTTTAAAATTACTTTTCTATTATTAGATCTACTGAGAGCCTCAGTTCAGACATCCTTAGAGGTCGCTCTGATCTCAGCGCTCTACTGTGGGTAGCTTTGACTTTGGGCAGCCCATGGGGTGGCTGAGGTAAGAAGTTTAACCCAGAGAAATGCTTCCTCACTTCAGTTGTTGATGCGGAAGTCCAGGGATCAGCATTTTTTCTTGAGTCACAAGCCTGAGCCTGAAACCATTATCTCATTTAGAAGGAGGGATTTTTGTAATGTTGGAATGTTACAACAGTGATTTACACATGACAGGTTTCCCTTACCAGAAGGCAGAACCAGTTGGTGTCCATTGAACATCTCTCCACAGTACCCACCCAAGTCAAATAAAACCAGTTTGGCATGTGTCCTGTAGCCTCTGCTTGAAGCAGAACACTCTGACTCAGTGCTTGAGAAGAATCAGAAATGGTGGGTTTGCTTGATGCAACAACATGCAGAATGAAATTTAATTTTTTGTTGATGGGCTTAGAACAAAACAATAAAAATGGTATCTTCTCATGGTCTACTTCAGAGCATTAAAATACACTTTATGTAAAAAGTGATTTTTTTTTTATGTAAAAAATGACCATGTAACTACAATTTCTTAAGGGAACAGTTTCAACCAAGCTTTTTCTAGGTCTTGAGACTATCTACCAGTACTTCTAAATGTCTTACCATAGTTGTTCATATCATTAATAGGGTTCAGGATAACCCTATATTTATCATACACAGAAGTTTTTTGCTTGTTTGTTTGTTTTTTTAAGAGAGCCAGTTTATATAATGTGAAAAAGATGGTGTCTGTGTTTTCATTAGAAGCTATGTATGTTTTACAGCTATGACACGGTGCCCATGTGAAATCCCAGGAGAAATGGGCTCAGGGTCACCTTCAGCTGTATGGCAAATTGGGGATACCTGGGATTCATGAGTTTCTGTATCCAGAAAAGAAAAAGATGGGACAAGATAGTTCAGTGGTACTTGCACCAAGCTTGTCACCCTGACTTTGATCCCTGAGACCCATATGGTGGAGAGATTGAACTTCTGCAAGTTGTCCTGTGTAAATATGCTCTGTGGCTCTCCTACACCCCCCCCACATGCATGCACACAAATAAATGTAATTAAAACAAATTTAAATACAATGCATGACTTCTTTCTTCCATTAGGCAAGGGGAAAGGAATAGTATGGTAGCCTCTATTTGTTTTCCAGTTTCTTTTAAAGATTTGTTTATTCCTATTTTCTGTGTAAATCTGATTTTCCTGTGTGTATGTCTGTGTATTGTGTGTGCTGGTTCCCACAAAGGCCAGATGAGGGTGTCAAATCTCCTGTAACTGCAGTTATTATAGAAGTTGTGAGCTGCCCATTTGCATGCTGGAAACTGAACTCAGGTTCACTACAAGAGCAGCAAGTGCTCTTAAGCTGTTATTCAGCCTCGTGTTTCCCAGTTTCTAATCTGTAAATGGTTTATTTCAGTAACACTGAGCCTTAACCATACTAGCCAAGCACTCTATCATGAGGTTGTATTCCCATCCTCAAAATCAAAACCCTAAAACCTGGTATTGCTTGGTTTCTTCCTTTAGGCTCGATTTTACTCTCCAGCTACCATATTTATTGATGAGATAGATTCCATTTGTAGTCGTCGCGGGACTTCAGAAGAGCATGAAGCAAGCCGAAGGGTGAAAGCTGAGCTGCTGGTTCAAATGGATGGTACATAGATTGACTTGGGATGGTAGCTGACTGTGTATGCTCTTCCAGTCAGTCAAGCTGTTTGTGGTGCTGATCCAGCACATTCAGTATGTGTTAGAACTCCAGAAGGATGGGAGGGACAGGCATTTAGGGCATAGAGATGAGTAGTAGTAGTAAATGGATATTTTTGAATGAATGACATGTCAGAAGTAATGGCATCCACATACCACTCTTTGGTGTGCATGCGTGTGTGTGTGTATATATATATATATATATATATATATATATATATATGTGTGTGTGTATATATATATATATATGTGTGTGTTTAGCCACAGAATAAGTAGATATAAAATGCAAACAGACTGGCCTTAGAGGTTATGTATTTGGAATGTATTCACAATTCATGTGTATGAGTGTGTGTTTTCATGTTTGTTTGTGTATCTTGTGCATACCTGGTGCCAGAGGAGGCCAGAAGAAGGTGAGCTGCTATGTGGTGCTGGGAATTGAACTCAGGTCCTCTGGAAAAGCAACCAGTGCTCTTAACAACTGAGGTATCTCTCCAGCCTGATAGTTTTTTTTTTTTGTTTTTTGTTTTTTGTTTTTTGTTTTTTGTTTTTAGCCCAGGGTGACCTCAGACTCATAAGAGATCTGCCTGCCTCTGCCTCTCAAGTGCTGAGATTTAAGGAACTTCATGCCCATGCACCACTAAACCCATGATTTTTAAAAAATAATTAGCTGAGCTGGTGTTTTCATTAAATCCCTTGTAAGTCATATTTTGTGTATCATAAAACTACATTTCCCTTGGGTCACATCCTCACAGTTGTATTAGGGAGGCTGGGAAACTATACCTCTTGCATCATTGTGTAAGATTTCAGTCTGTAAAGAACTGAGCTTTATTTCATGAGTCCCACTCAGTAACTTTTATTCTCCTACCTTTTTAGGTGTTGGAGGAGCCTCAGAAAATGATGACCCTTCCAAAATGGTTATGGTTCTGGCAGCCACAAATTTCCCCTGGGATATAGATGAGGCTTTACGACGTCGTCTTGAGAAAAGAATCTACATTCCTTTACCATCAGGTATCATGACTCTTTTCTGGGAGCTCTAGTTATCAAGTAGATTTTATAATTTAAAATTGATAGTAGCCTTACTTGAGGAGGCAAATGTTTGTTCTTTCCTGTGTGACTGTTTGGCTACATCTAGAATCTGGAAGCCTTGATAACATGATAAGCACACTTGCTCCAAGAATTGGAAAACAATTCTTAATACTTCCTGGCCTTGAGGCAGACAGACATGGTGGCTTATGCCTATAAATCCTCGACTTTTAGGCCGAGGCAGGGAGGTGATGAATTCAAGGCCAGCCTGAACTGTATTATGAGACCATCTTTAAAACTGTTTCAGAAAGTGGGCTTTTGCTTGAGCGAAATCAACACTACTCTATTCCCATTGAAGCTTACATTTTAAAATGTTTCTCCAATTAGCAAAAGGCAGGGAAGAACTATTAAGAATAAGTCTTCGAGAGCTGGAATTGGCTGATGATGTTAACCTTGCAATCATAGCAGAAAACATGGAAGGTTACTCTGGTGCGGACATTACCAATGTATGCAGGTGTGTATTTCTCTCATTTTTTGTAAACATAAACTTCAGTTGTTAAGTGTTTATATTAAGGCAAATGACCTACACTGGCCAGGAGATAGAGTGTTTGCCTAGCATGTGCCAACCCTGAGTTTTATCTCAAGACTACAAAGACCCCACCCCCACACTACAATATATTTATAGTTACAGTTACAATTTATGGTTAGAGTTAGCATTAACAGGTGTTGGCAAGGTATCTGCATTTGCGGCCCATAGTCTATTTGAAAGCTGTAAGTTTAAGAAGCATTGTTTCCTTGCTGTGTTAGATAGGAAATGACTGGTGTATTTAATGCACTCACAGGATACAGTAATACTATAGTCTTGTTTTAGTCACTGGGTCTTAAATGTGACTGTTGGTCCAGTTGGCTCAACAAGGCATGGCCCTGATCTGTCTCAGGGGTTGTCTGCATGGCTTCCTCATTGCTAAGTGAGCACATCACGCAGATCATGTGGGTCAGAGGTTATGTATACAAATGAAGTTACTGCCTCTGTGCACATGTGGTGACTGCAGGTAAGGTTGTACTTGGTCAGAGAAAAATTACATGAGCTGGGTATGTGGCTAAGGCAGAATACTTGCTTAACTTGCATGAAGCCCTGGATTTGGTCCTTGCAGCATGTGGTGCTGAGACGTGGTGGTGCAGGACTATACTCCTGGCATCAGGGCATGGAGGCAGGAGAATCACAAGTACAAGGTCATCCTTACCTACACTGCCAGTTTGGGGTAGTCTGGGCTGCATGAAACTAAGAGTTTATCCCTGGCTGCCCTGGAACCCACTCTGTAGACCAGGCTGCCTCCCTTGTGTGCCACCACTGCCCAGCTTATAAAAGACATTCTTGATGTGAAGTTTCTGTGATAGAAGGGAAAGGGAAAATGTGCCTGACCCGATTTTCCTTATATGGAGAAAACGTTTAATTTTCTATCTAACATTCCTTTCTGTCTCCATGGTGAATATCTATTCTTTAAATTGCAAGCTTCTTTATTATATCTTTTTACTTTATCTTGGACTGTATATTCAGCATTTATTACTTGAATTAGTATACTTATTTCATTATGGAGATTTCACTGCTAAAATATGACTCAAAGCAGGCCTTGTTTTCCAATGGAAGGTGCAATGCAGTATTAATATATGTATATAATATATGTAAGATCGAGAATTTGGCAGTTTTTTTTTTTTTAATTCAATTAAAGTAACACTTTGGGCTTTTTAAAACTTAAAACCTAGAGATGCATCCTTGATGGCCATGAGAAGGCGTATTGAGGGTCTAACTCCAGAAGAAATCCGAAACCTTTCAAGAGAAGAAATGCACATGCCTACCACCATGGAGGATTTTGAAATGGCTTTAAAGAAGGTTTCTAAGTCAGTATCAGCTGCAGACATTGAAAGATATGAGAAATGGATAGTTGAGTTTGGATCATGCTAACTTCTCACATGTAAACTGTGAGAAATCTGCCTTAAGTCTTTGAAACATAATTAAATGTAGTATTTCATTGCACTGAGTGCTATATTTTTTTAAACTTTAATAATGGTGAGATTTTTAAATTCTGATTCTGAATAAAGGCATTGTTTTTAAGCTGCACCTTGTTTTAATTTAGCACTGCTTGATTTCTGCTAAGTACATCTCTCTCCCTCTCTTTGCTGTTCTACGGTAACGATTGATAGCTAGTAAACACTCTTATACTGCAGCTAACTAAAGCATAGCCATAGTGTCTTCTCCTCTGGAGTCATGGTAGCTTCTCTTCCCTTTCTGTCCAGGTAGGAATGGGACTCTTGGGACTGGAGAGATGGCTCAGTGGTTAAGAGTGCATACTGCTCTTGAAAAAGCTTCAAGGGGATACACTGGCTCTAGGATCCTTGTGCACATACCCAGAAAAACATGCATAACACAGACACACCCCAAAGTTAATTAAAACAATCCAGTTAGGGCTAGGGATATACATTGCTAGGGTTCTTGCCCAGCATGAATGAAGCCTCAGGTTTGGTCTCTAACTCTGCATACAACCAAACATAGTGTTACCTGCCATCATGTAGGTGAATGCAAGATTGAGGTCATGCTTAAGTACTTGGTAAGTCTGAGACCAGCCTGGACCACCTCCAAAAAAAAAAAAAAAACCAGGCAAGATTAAACTTCACTGTCACAACTTGTCATCCTTCTTCCCTTCCTCTTTCTCTCCTCAGAAGGCTTGGAGCTGTAGCTCAGTAGTATAGTCCTTTCCTGGCATTCATGGCTTCAAGTTTCTACTATTGGTAGAAAGAAAAAAAAAAAAAGCAAAGCATTGAGCTTGGGCCATGTTTTTAAAATGGATTACAACCAAAAACCTGGGACAGATAGACAGACAGACTCTCACTGTGTCATCTATCGAGGTCTTCTTTCTTGTCACTGAGTACTGGGCTTACAGATGTGCTCTACCATATCTGGCTTTCAAAACTCTTTTAATGAAAAAGAATAAAAACCACATGGAGTAAGTTGTGTGTACTAAATAACCCTGTTGAAATAGGCCATTCTGACCACTACAAACAAGATGAAACATGCCTATTACACAGTACTCTCCTTACAACCATAAAATTGACAGCTGCTTTGAAAGGCTGAGCTTCACGTTCAGTCACACGAATGAAAGCCATACCACACTACTATATAGTGAGTGCTTCTCACTTAGGGAAACTTAATCCATGCAGCTATACTTTTATCCCATTAATGCGGGGAGGGGAGCTGGAGAGAGAACTGATTAAAATGCTTCCTGCTCTTCCAGACCACCCAAGTTTGGTTCCCAGTGCCCGCATCAGGCAGCTCACAACCACTGTAACTCCAGCTGCAGGGGCGATTCAATGCCTTCTTTTGGCCTCAACAGTCATTTGTACTCATGTGCACACAGCACCCCACACACACATAATTAAAAATAAAGTAATTCTTTTAAAAAAAAGTTTATTTTAGAGTGAGAACATGTCACTTTAAATCCTGGTGCAGTCAGGGTAAGCAGTTTTGGCACAAACACAGACATGATACACTTATGTGATTTCATACTGAGTCCTGTGTGTAATATAAAGGCACATTGTACTGAGTAAAAAAAAAGTAAAGTCTTCAGCTTTTAAATTACAATTTCATAAAGTGCTTCTTATAAAACCTTACAATAGTAATCAATAGATACAGTTTCTGCAGCAAAGGCACCTGGAAGCTACTGGCACTTGGTGTTCTGTTTCACCTGGTTATTTCTGGTTATATCAAAGTCACATCTTTCCAATTAAATTTCCCTTAATAATTCATCTCCTGAGCAGGCAGCCCATGTGTGGAACGAGGTGAACTCTAACTTGGCACAGTAAAGGTCAATTTTCAGACAGTCTCAAGAATTTGGCAATTTCTATGTATAAACTGATTAATGATTTAAATAAAATGGTATTCAAATGGCTAGTCTGGAGACAACAGACTAATTCAGAGTCCATGATTGGAGATGGTGTTTTAAATACACATTTTATCTTTAAGCTTTTCTTCTGTCTTCTCAGAACCTTCTGGATATAAGATAGTAGGTACCACAGGGATGACATTCATTTTATCCACCTGAAGAATTCCTCTGAAATATAAGATAAGTCATTATTGCCAGTGTCACACATCTCCTCCAGGAGGTTGATGTACAACAGCACCTCTTGGAGTTTCCAGTCCACCTCCCCTCTCATGGCTTATAAAGGTTGTACAAACTGTTGGCTCCAAGTTCTCTTTAACCAAACATGCTGAGCGACTAGAAGGGAATAGAGCTCATCACCTGGCCCTACAGGAAGGAGAGCACATGTCTTCAGGGCAAGAGCTCTCACTCCCCTAGACTGCTATCAGCTGGTGAAAAGGAAAGCCCGGGCAGCTTTCTAGTCACTGTCCACTGAAACACAACCCAATCTTTACATGTCACTTGTCACTAAAATCTGTGACACTTAGTAAGTAGGTTTTTCATACTGAACCCAAGAACCTAAGTAACCATTGCCAAGTTTCTCCCACTGAAACAGCAACAAATTTAAGGTTGGCTTAAAATCACAAGCTGGCTGTACATGTGATTAGACTGTGTGCTGCTATAAGTTGGTCTGTATGGCATACAACAGCAGTTTACAAGTTGCATGTGCCATTTTATTATATGATGCAGCAGTTTGCTTCATTTTGGGTGCAAGTGCTGATAATCATGACTCTGCCTCCTCTTACAATTCAGTCATTGCCAGCTGTTGAGCACAGAGATGTGGCAAAGGTTGATGACTGACTTAAATAAGTTTACTAGCTCCTCCTGACTTTGCAAATCAGAAGCATAGGGGCTTACAAACTCTTAAGAGAAACCAGGCCTGTGAAGTTACCAAGCACACCAGATCCATGGATGATGAAGTTCCTTCATTGTGTCACATATAAGTCAGGTGTGGTGGACGACACCTGGAATCCCCAGGCTGGAGCCATTTATGAATTCAGAACCAGCCTGGTCTACATATGGAGACCCATCTAAAAACATCCAAACCGAACAATGAAATGAGCAGGTACTAGAGAATGGCAGCACCCATAAACTGAGCAGTCATTAGGCCATCAGGATTAACAAGTAACTAATGTTCCAAACCTGTTCCTGCCTGACAAGACCTACTGGAATGGCAATTCACAGGATCATTGTGCCTAGAATTAGCACTGTACTTTGGCAGCCCAGTCAGTGTCTGAATGGCTAATGGACTGTGCTACTGTCTAACAGTGGCAGTGACTGCATCTCTACAGGCTCTCTGTCTCCACTTTAACCCTTTCTTGGCTATTCAGTAACACAACTTCATGTCCTGTAACGTGAGAGCTGAGAGTCAGGCTTAATTAAGAGTGGGATGAAAGAACCTGTTTGCCAGTGGCCACAAGTAGCCAATGAAATCAAGGACACTCAGGCTTGCTGTCACACATCTGTAATCCCAGCACTTGAGAGGTAAAAGTAGGAGGATCAGGAGTCCAAAGCCATCCTCAGCTACATGACCAAGTTCAGGACCAGCCTGGGTTACACGAGACCCTGCCCCATACAAGCAGCAGAGGACATCTGGTGCTCTTTGTTCCACATGATGCTGCAGTGAAGAGCCTGCTGGGCTCCTGACATTGACTGACTGATACTCTGGAGGTGAGACAAGGGGGCAGTGGTTTCACTGACTCCACACATGCAGTGTTCCCTGTGTTCCCATTCATGTTCTGTCCCACGGAGACTTGGCAACATTTCTGATCATGGTTGACTCTCTCAAAGTATAGTAATCTCAAGTGATATGTAAATTTATTTTAATTCCATCACAATTGGAAAATGTTTTTTTCCCTCCCATTGTCTTATCCTAATTTTATACTTTCTAGTATATACAATATAGTGACTGTAACCCCCCCCCAAAAAAAACAGGGTTTTTCTGTGTAGCCCTGGCTATCCTGAAACTCACTTTGTAGACCAGGCTGGCCTTGAACTCAGAGAACTGCTTGTTTTTGCCCACTGAATGCTAGAATTAAAGGTGTGCACCACCACTAAAACTTACTTTTGAGTAGTTAAGATTAACAATCTCAAAAACATGAAGCACTTACTTGTTCTCATAAACTGGGCAAAGCACCTTTAACATGGCTATGACTCCTGCTGCACCCAAAACTCCAACCACCATGACGTTCAGAAACATGAAGAGCACTGGGAACACGCTGCCCCAGAGCCCACAGAGTGCTCTCCTGAGCTTTTCCATCCACTGGCACATCACCTGGGAAGAGGGTTTTGATCAGAAAGGTCAGTTCCATAAACTAAAATTTAAAATTTCTGTCTTCTTTTGAGAGGGGGTCTTTCTCTGTAGCCCAGGCTGGCCTCGAACTCATAGAGATCCACCTGCCTCTGACTCCTGAGTGCTGGGATTAAAGGCATGTGTGCCACCATGCCTGGCAAAATTTCTTAAAGTTTTGGGTTTGGGTGATAGAAACAACCTGTGTCTTGATTATAATAGTGCTGTTACATGTGTCAAAGCTAACTCAAATAATAAAAAATAAAGAAGCCTTGTTTGGGGTAAATTGCTTAAAAATGAATGCTTTCCCCTAGTTCCACAGTGATGGGCTGGCGTGACTGTAGGATATATATAACATGACAACAAAATTTTATTTTAAAATTTACCTAAATTTTTTACACTCTTAAAAATTATGTTCCCAAGATGTAGGTGCAAAAATTATTTATCCTGTGTCTAACTACAAATCAAGGGACTATTAATGCTGACAGACTAATGAGAACTGTCCAGCGTTGCAGGGATGAGGAAGAAACAAACTCCACAGCTTTTACAACAGGGAAGGTCCACTGTCTAGAAATGCCTCATGTTTAAAGAGCAAGAAGAGAACCAAATACGGGTACTGACGACATGGAGTATGAAGATAGTCTCCTCTGAGGCTGATCTGCTGGCAGGCGGGGGCTGGAGATGCCACAATGCAAACTGCCCAACTAATTGATACTCCAGCAACCCCAAATCGACAATCTGACCTTCAGTGAGAATTTCTTGCATAGAACTTAATTTGGGAGCAGACACATTAGGCTACTCTCAGAACTGTATCTGTAGATGGAGTATAACATAAATGTTCCCAGCAGACATCAC